AAAAAAATTCAACAACACAAGCAGTTTTTTCAGACCTAAATAGAGGAGATTTGCCATTACCATGTGGTGATACAAACTCGATGGACGGTGCTAGCAGCAACCAGAGCAACAGCTTCAGCTAATATAACTGTCATACAACAAAATAAACAAAAAGGATAATCTTGGTTAAGTTCTTTGTCAAACAACAAATGCTGCAATAAAGTTTTGCTGATAACTAAGATGAAGATTTTCAAGTTAAAATTTTCCATTTAAAGTTTAAATGATGATAATGACCAATAGAAACTAGGCGGTATTGCCTTTTGGAACAGCCATTGAAAGATACCTATATTATTTCCATTCTTCCTAACTTTGCCAGTAGCATCTTATCATCACAAAATAAAAAGCAAACATGCATACAAGTTTTTTTTTTAAAAAAAAAAAAGAGGAAAAAATCTATTTATACTTACCAGCACCCCAACCAGTTCTCATGCCACATGTTTCCTGAAAATTCCCAATGAACTGCAAGAACAAAAGACAGGCTCATTATTCCAAAACAATTAATGGGTATATGGTATGCAAAAAAAGCTCATTATCTTGCAAATCCAATCGAACCAATAAAAAACTGGTAAGTTCTCTGGGAAAGTAAACATGATTCTACATAGATTTACCCCCAAAAAAAAAAAAAAAAATGCTCCTACATATATAGTTTACAGATTCAGCAATTGAAGAAAACAAAGTCAATGAGGAGCGATAGAAACTCACTGTCAGCAAAACCAGAAACAATAGAGAGCTAATGAACCCTCCAAGTATGGTGAACAACTCCGAGGAAGCTAGCTTCCCTCGATACATCTCTTGGAGTGAGAGAATAACAGTAAACAGAAGAAACGAATATAGCATCGAACTCCCTGGTACTGCCATGGTCTCTAAATTGAACAAAGAGGAAGCGCGTCACAATAATTAACACTCGTAGCACCAATCTTGTCCAAAAGAAAATGAAAAATTCAACAGGAGAAATTGAAGTGAAAGATCTGCATGATCTAATTCATCCGAGTTTACACAATCGCATTTTATGGCCGGAAAACAATTTTGAAAATGCAAAGGTAACGAGAATCACGAGATCCGAGGACTTGTTTGATTTTCTTCTTAGCTACATTTTCCCCGGTAAACAAACGGAAAAAGATCTCAATAGAAGCCAAAACAGCTCAAGTAAAGGAAATGAAGGTATAGACATTGAAGCCGTACCTGAAAAACCCTAGAAACTCCGATCCCTCTCTGTTGCGCCGTCGATGCGCCGATGGATCAACAAACAAAGAATAACGAAAATAGAATGCGACTCTGCCAAGTGCGAGTAAACGGAAGACTCAGACTAACGATGCGATGTTTCGGTGTATGCGTTGTTTTGGTGTGATTGTGTGAAGAAAAAAAATTACGGGGCCAAAATCGTCAACCGAATTTACAGATCTTACTCCGTTCCGATGGATAATCTCACCGGATTGTTAAAAAATGTAAAATAAATTGGGTCCCTGATTTTTTGTTGCAACTTCAATTGGGATACAATTCTTGTTTCTATGCCAGTTAGATGCTCAGTCTTTGAATTGATTTCAATTAACATCTTTGGGTTTGAAGTATAATTATATTTATATCCATTAAAAGGAAAAGAAAAAAGTGCTTGTGTTAAAAGTTTCAAATTTGAACTTTGAGATAAGCGAAGAGATTTGAAAAATAAAAAGAAAAAAAGATTACTACATAAATATAATATTAGATGTTCCAAAAAAATTTATATATATCCATGGAAGCATAAAGGGAAGAAAAAATCCACCTAGGACCTAGGTGCCTAGGTGGTGTTTTGCGGTGTGAAAAATGAAAACTTGCATCAACTAATTACAAATTATTTATTTATTTATTTACTTTTTAATAGGAATGAATTTCAATAACAATTTATTTTAATAAATATTATATGATATTAACTAATCAACATTTAACATATTACAATGTATATGTATTCATACAATTAATAGAAATGAAATTTCTTTTAGTTGTGGGGTTTATTTTCAATGAAATTTTCAAATGGAAGGATGTTTCAATGGAAAGATTAGGGACTCAATTGAAGTAAAATAAAAGTTTGCGATTCAATTGAAATACCAATATAAAATTAAACACTAAATTGACTATACCCAACAAAAAACGATCTAAAGTTCCGGCGGGCAGTCGTTGACCAATTCATCGTTGTTGGCGTATTTTCTGATGCATTTTGCCAAAATGCGTGGGAAATTGGCGGAAACTTGTACTTCTCATTGTCTATGACTCATCGGATTGATGGAGTTGTCGGAGCTACCTGAGTGTCCGGTGTGCCTGCAGCCCTACGACGGCGAGTACACAATTCCTCGTGTACTCACCTGCGGACACACTGCCTGCGAGTCCTGCCTCTCAAACCTCCCCCAAAAATTCCCTCAGGCGATTCGCTGCCCTGCATGTACGGTAGTAGTCAAGCTCCCTCCTCAGGGTCCCTCTCTGCTCCCCAAAAACATCGACCTTCTGCGGCTGATCACGGCCTCTCCCCTGCAAAATCCCCCAAAACCGGTCGACAAACGCTCGAATGACCTCCATGTATCATTTCTCCCTCGCCTCTGGTCAAGTGATTTCTACTCTATTTGGAAGGATTATGTTCTTCCGGAACACACTGTTGAGACGGAAAAGGTGAGTGCTTTTAGCGTTGGGTCTTTGTTATGTGGCGGTGATTCTGTGCTCAAGGTTGCTCTTGTTGTTAGAGTTATGGATTGTTTGAGTGGGATGGGAGAGGAGGAAAGAGAGGAGCTAAGTTTGGTTTTAAGATTTTATAAAAAACAGAATGACAGAATTTGTAGGGTGTTGGGTTTATGTGGTGACTTTGAAGATGGGTTTTTGTATTTGGTATCTGAGAGGGGAAAGAACTCAAGTTCTTTGGATAAGTTGGGTGATTTTAAAGAAGCGGACTTATTTAGTTTTGCATTGATCGCTATGGAGGTCTGTGAGACAGTTAGTGTCTTGCATAAGGAAGGGTTGATTGCAGGTTGTATAGGCTTTTCCTGCTTTCAATCTGACGAATTTGGGCATTTTCATCTTGATTTGACTGAGGTGCTAAAGATGGGAAGGACAGTTCGTAAAGTTGTTTTGGATATGGTTTCTTCTTCCAAGAAAAGAATTAGTGATGAAGATATAGAAGCATTATTAACAGAGTTGTCCAAGAGGGATGTGTTTGTGAGCCCTGAGGTGTTGTTTGAGGTGTTACGGAAAGAGGGGTACGACACAGAATGTAGTGGCTTAAGGTATTCGGTAGGGTATGGGTCAGATGTTTGGTTAATAGGCTGTATATTGTTTAGACTTCTCATTGGGGAACAATTCGGGGTACAGTTTGTTGATTACTTACATCATGTTATCTTAAAAGCAAGTGAAGATAACGGGTTAGATTGCTCAGGCATTTGCATGAGTTTACTAGAGAAAGAGAGCACTTTGTTGAGTACTAAATTTGGTTCAGAGTTTGCCACTTTGCCTTTGATTCTCAGCAAGAGTTTGGATATTGATCCACAAAAGCGTCCACTTGCCACTGATATCTGGAAATGCATTAGGGAGTTGGTTAGTAAATCTCAGTTTGATACGATGGTCGCATTGGATGGGACAAGGTGTGAGAAGAATGGAGGTCAATGTTTGGTTGTTGGAGAATTGTGTCGGTTGCCCAAGGAAAGAATGGAGACCCTTGAAAAAGATGACCAACAAGGAGCTGAAAGCAATGGTCTTGGAGACTGTGATCATGATGATGATGCACATGGTCAAAGTAAGTTAGTGGATGGTCTGGCAGAGGGAAACATCAAATCCAAAGATCTACAGGGCCATCTTGATTGTGTCACTGGGTTAGCTGTTGGAGGTGTGAATTTTACATTACATAGTTCCAATGGGCTGCAATATGATGCTATTTTATTTTCTGGAGTGAGAAAAATATGAAGTTTAGGTTTTCTGGAAACTGTATTTGAGTGTACCTTGTATTTCTTTTGTAGGGGGTTTTCTGCTTAGCTCCTCGTTTGATAAATCAGTCAAAGTATGGTCATTGCAGGTATACTCTCTGAGGGCATCCTGTATATAAGTGGCTCAGCTTTGGTGATTAAATTTAACTTCATGATGAAATTAGAAAGATCTATGGGAATTTTCTTTCCTGCTCAGTTTATTGTTTGCCTTATCTTTGGAGTCATCATATGTTACAGCATAGAAGCTAAAACTTCTGCTCTTGGAAAAAGCAACCTATTGTTTGTTTTGTTTGAGATATGTCATTACAATTCTAGTGTTTATGCTTTTCACATTTGCAAATATTCATTGAGAAAATGGGCACAGCTAGCCTTTTCTTCTTGGAAAGTGGTTGCTTGTCTTTGATTTTGCAAATTTATGGAACTCAACTTCATCAGCATGTCAAATGTTCTCAGATTCAGTTAGTACCCTACCTTTCTGTGAAGTATGATCTGTATCAGTGAGTTGTGACCTGTATCAGTGGGTTGTGACAAGCTAGCAGTGTTCATGTGCATAATGAATTTGATATTTTGCATTTAATTGGAAAGTGGTTGTGACTTGCAACATTTATCTTAACACTTTTCAAAGTCATGTCAAATATTGAACAAATAATTCAAGGCAGTTAAAACTAAGAGCAGAACTTGTCAATAGTGTTTAGAGCCTATACATAGTGTTTAATTTTATTACTTAGTGCACTGCACATGAGAAAATTACTTCTACCATAATTTGATTAATAGTGTTGTTGATCAGAAATTCAGAATTCAATTTTGAGATCCATGCATAACTTGCAATTTTTTGTGTTTGCTTGTATTGTTCATAGAGAGTTCATTAATATATCCATCAGACATTACTCATTACTGTAAGTTAGCTGTGATATTAATTTGGTTGATTGTTGGATCTTTCTTATTGTCCCTTTTGAATTGGTTCCACAATATCTCTTTATATAGGACTACTCTCATGTGCACACATTTAAAGGTCATGAACACAAAATCACAGCCATAGTCTGTGTGGATGAGGAAAAGCCATTCTGCATTACTAGTGATAGTGGAGGTGGTATATTTTTCTGGAGTATTACTGTCCCACTAGGACAAGAGCCATCAAAAAAGTGGTATGAACAAAAGGATTGGCGGTTTAGTGGAATTCATGCAATGGCTGTTTCTGAAAATGGATATCTTTATACTGGCAGTGGAGATAAGTCAATTAAAGTATGGTCTTTGCAGGTAGCCTTCTATTGTTCATTTGCACTGGTTGCATTCAGCTTATGAAATTATATATTGAGATGCATGATCCTCGTTTCTGTTACCTCCAGGATGGCACCCTATCATGCACTATGACTGGCCACAAATCTGTAGTTTCCACACTAACGCTGTCTGATGGGATTCTTTATAGTGGCGGTTGGGATGGAACCATCCGATTATGGAGTCTAGGTGATCATAGTCTTCTGACAGTATTGGGGGAGAACACACCAGGAAGTATGACCCCTGTGTTAGCTCTGGGAGCAGACCAGCATATACTTGTTGCAGCTCATGAAAATGGGTCTATAAAGGTCTTTCCCTATTCGAAGTGCAAAGAGTTGGACTAAATTTGCTTTTGCTGTTGTTATCAATTGTGCTTCACATCGAAATAAATTGAGCTGAAACTACCAGTGTAGGCATGCAATTGCCCACCATGGATAAATATTATAGCCACATTATAGTACATAGAAAAAAAAAATGCAATTATTTATATTCTAAAATTGCATTTTATGATTAGCCTTTTTTGAGGAAATTGTTTTCACCTTTCTCTCCTTCATTTTAGGTTTGGAGGGATGATATATTTTGGAAATCAATCCAAATACACAATAATTCCATTTTTGCTATTGACATGGATGGGCAATGGCTGTTCACAGGAAGTTGGGACAAAACTGTTAATGTACAGGTATGAACAGAAGTTCAACATTGCATTTCCCTTTTACAGGGTTATCTAGCCTTGAGGTAATCTATATTTGTTTCTTCTGTAATGCTAAGTAAAAACAAAGTTGCCAAGAAAGTTATATTTGTTTCTAGGAGTTTCTTTAAGCTTTGCTTTTAGGATAAAATCTTTGACTTGATTGGTCTAACTTCATTCTAGTTTATAATTAGATTAAGTGCACTTAATGCAATCTTTATCTTTCAGGAATTAGTAGGAGATGACTTTGAAATGGATGCTAGACATGTTGGATCAATACCTTGTCATTCTACCATAACATCATTGTTGTTCTGGGAAGGGAAGCTTTTTGTTGGATTTGCTGATAGGATGATTAAGGTATATTGCTTGTTCTTTTGGGTACTTTCACGAGTATTGCACCTTAGGCTTTCTTTACAACACTTGATCTGATAGCTGAAGCAATAAACAGTGATTTTGTTTATACCTTGGGCTTTCTTTACAGCACTTGATCTAATAGCTGAATCAATAAACAAGGGTTTTGTTTATGCAGGTATATTATTATGGAAAGTGATACTTGGCCAACCACAAGTTGTGTCGGCTTTGTGGTGGCAGGTACTGCAGATATTACTAATAAGGATGATTCAGAGCCTTGTATATCCTCAGTAGAATATGTTATCGATAGCATGAAGTAACTGAAAAATACCTAAAGGTTTTGATATTTATAGATTTCATAATATATATTTTCTTAAGAAGTTTGTACATAAGCAGAAAACAGCAACCAATCATAGTGCCATACAAGTTTCTCCAAGACATGAACATGATTCTTGTTTCAAGAATCAGTGATCATTGTATATATACTATTTGGAACTTCTGTTGTTAATAAATTCATAAATCAGCCGCTTTTTTTCTTTTGAACAAATAAATCAGCCGCTTTTGTGCTGTTTCTGTTAGCTCTTCTAACCCCAAACTTTTCAAGGGTCTTAGATAACCTATGCAAAAGCCCATGGAAGGAGTTTGTTTCTCTGAACATTTACCAATTGATGATTAGTTTTCATTTTGTGTTTGATATGGAAACATCCAAATTATGGAGATGTTGGTCAACATCAATATTAACAACCGTGGATTAGGGATAAAAATGAGGTTAATGAACCATTACTCAGTCCTTGTCTTGACTCTTGATGCATTGGGAATGCCATAACTAACTGATATGAGAAATATAAGCTGACTTCATAAATTTCTTAATGTTTATTAACTATAAATTTTTTTTTTTTCCCGGTAAAAAAATTCTTTAAATGGGTAGCTTGTTGGTAGAAGGAACTGAATTGAGAATGCTGTTGAAGAAGAATTGTTGACTTCTATTATATAATCCTCGTATTAAGGAAAGTAAAAATATTTTTGGCCTTGAATACCACGCCAATTATAGTAGATTAGCTTGTATTATATTTCTTTTTAACTAATCGAGGTAAAATTTTCGCACTTTTAACACACCCCTCTACATAGGCCATGTTTTCATTGGAAGCTTTCACGTGGGCCAACAATGAAAATTAAAGGCTTAATGTATATATATATATATATATATTATTTTAGTTGCACAATGAAAAACAATTATCCTTTATCTCTTATTCCACCTCACCCGCATGTCATGGGACTCGAATTCAGAATTTCTTATTTTCAACGAAAAAAAATAATCATTGAATTATTTATATCATTGACAAAAGCTTAATATATATTAGAAATTAGAAAAGTATACGAAATAAAATATCACATAAATAAAAATCATTGGATAAAGTAAGTGGTAACTTCCTATTTAGGGGTTTTTATGGAATTTATGTTTGAGTCCTTATTTGCCAAAAATTCTCAACATTTATGCTATTCAAATATATATATATATCATATAAGTATTCAATTTAAAACTAAATAATTGACTATATACGAAATAGTCCACATTATCTTTAAATTCATAAAATTTCTTTTAATTAAAAGACATGAGATTCTTCTACTTTAACAAACTGCTAATTGACTAATTTTCTTTGATTAAAATGGGGGGGCGGGGGAGCATGGAGCAGGAGGCAAATCATGCAAAGTACAGAGAGCCTAGACAGTTTCTTTGTCATCCTGATGGAATTTGAATGGCTTGTGAGAGACATTATTCGTCGGCAGCATGTGAAGAAAGAAAGAGACTTGTTCATCACCATCTTCTTCAAATTGAATCAACCCCATGCATTAACATTAAGAACCCTAATTCATTATCAATATTACTCAATTCAGCTCACACTTCTCCCTAGATGTCTCTCCAATCCAAAAGACAGTCCTGGAGGAATGAATCCTCCCCAATGTTATTGATATTAGTATGTCTTAACATGATATAAATATCAACATTAATTATACATTAACATAAAAGTATTTTTCAGCTCGAAGAAAAAGAAAAAAAAAGTTGTAGAGATGTTGATTAAACTATTTTAATATTTTTAAATCATTTATGAATATTGATTCATTAATAATATTTAAAATTTTTTATAAATATTCTTACTTTTTTTTTATCAATGAACTTGAAAATCTGCATCTCCATATATTAATAAAAATTTATTTAATTTGTATCTTTAAAATCTATGTTAAGGATGTAATTAATATATTTTTTATATTAATTAATATAAAAAAAAAACAAAAATTGACATTAATTTTATTATTAATGCTACATATCTTGTTTTAGTTGAACAAGTAATTAAATGAATATTAAATTTTATTTCTTCAATGACAATTAATGCTAAAAAAAGTTGTTAAAGAACCCTAGTAATAAATGGGAAACATTTTTTTAAAAAAATTCACCATGGAAAGACAAAGACAGAGAAGTTAATTAGAGGCTGTTCAACGCTTTTGTGGGTAGTTAAGAGTGGTTGCTTTGAAATGAGTAAATTGAAACAAGGAAAACTGTCATGATTCAAACATTGAATACAAAATTAATGGTAGACCCGAGAACTGATGAAATCCATGTTCTCACCCTTAGATAAACATTACTAGTACACTACTCCATATAATCTTTATTTTTAGCAGTTGTTTTTGACTTCAAACTTTTCCAAAGTGTCATAAAACAGTTCTTGTTAGTTAGATGCAACGGATATCTAACTTGGTTGTCAATAATTAACTGCTTGATTATCAGACTTATTACTCTTTCCTCCTTTTTTTTTTTTTTTTGAACAAATTGTCAAGTGACGGGCTTCCATGAAAGAGAGAAAATGCACTTCAAGCTGGCAGGCTACCAATTGACCTGAAGGGCCAGTGCCAGTTTCCTCCTCCTTTTGTTTCAAAAGTAATTGTTATTTTGAATCCAAACTTAGAGTTCAAGTAATTTACTTTCAGTTTTAAGGTGTTTGGATTAATTAGTCGAGGTTTTAATATTTTGAGAAATTCTCTGTCTCCAATCCTCTAAATTGTAAATTGTTTAAAAAAAAACAAAAAGTAATTATTATTTTTAATTATGAGTTAAAAATGATAGTATAAATTAAAATAACAGAAAGATCGAATAAAATTATAATTAGTAACAATATAATATAAAGGTGTTTGTTTTGATATTTTGTAAATAATTATCAGTTGGTAATTATAATCAAATAAATTAGATATTTTAAATTTAAATCTTATAACTTATAAAATAAGAAATGAGAGAGAGGGTTATTTTTTATTGTATAATTAAGATAAAATAATAATAATCATTTATACTATAAATTTAATTTATAAAACAATAGTAAGTAGATGTGGAAATTTGGGTTGTGGGTTGTGACCGACCTCCC